TCCTAATGCCCCAGCCACAGGCCTGAGGCCTGGGCAGGGGCAGAACCTATGATCAGAGTGGGCTGGGGGGTCCCCTGTCCAGACCTAATGCCCTGGCCAGTGGCCTGAGGCCAGGGCAGGAGCATAGCCAGTGATTGCCCAGGGCTGGGGGTCCCTTGCCCAGGCCTAAGGCCCCAGCGAGAGGCCTGAGGCCTGGGCAGGGGTGGGGCCTGTGATCAGAGCAGGCTGCAGATCCCCTGCCCAGGCCTAAGGCCCTGGACAGAGGTCTTAGGCCTGGGCAAGCAATCGTAGCGGACTGGGGGTCCCCTGCCCAGGCCTAATGCCCGGCCTAAGGCCATAGGCCTAGGCAGGGGCCAAGCTGGGGATTGGTGTGAACTACAAAGGAAACACCTTTTCTGACCGCTCATTGGCTAAGCTCCCTGTATACCACTGGTAATATTCTTAGTAACTTGGGTAATAAGAATCCAAGAAGGTGATGTAGGTGTTTTTCCACCTCAGTCCTGGAGAAAAATCGAAGGTTTGCTGCTGGAGGGGCTAAGAAATATCATATCCTGCCCTAGCTGGTTTGGCTCAGTAGATAATGCCTCAGCCAGCCTACCACAGGGTCTGGGTTCAATTCTGACCAAGGGCATGTACCTAGGTTGCAGGCTCCTCCCTGGCTGGGGCCCAGGTCAGCGCTCATGCAGGAGGCAACCAATCAAAGTGTTCCTCTCATTTTGATGTTTCTCTCTGTCTTTCCCTTTCTCTTTTACATTCTCTAAAAATCAGTGGAAACATATCCTCAGGTGAGGATAAAAAAAAAAATAAAGAAATGTCATATCCTATGAAAGACACATCTTGAAAATGCCTAAAGAAAGTTGTCATTTTTTCATGGTAAGGGACTGGAGTCCGTGTTGATGAAAACACCTTGGTGGCTGTGGTGACTGGCTGCAATATTGGGGTGATGGGCCTGGTGCCTTCCCCTGATCAGCCCGGTCGCCTCCCACAAAGGGAGGCCAGACTGCAGCTTAGGCCTGCTCTCCAAGGGGAGCAGGGAGCAGGCCTAAGCAGTCAGTAGGACATCCCCTGAAGGCTCCCAGTATGTGAGAGGGGGCAGGCTGGGCTGAAGGACCACCCCCTCCAGTCGGCTGACACCTGCCAGCACAGCGGTGGTGGCGGGAGCCTCTCCCACCTCCTCAGCAGTGCTAAGGATGTCCGACTGCAGCTTAGACCTGCTCCCCGCTGGCAAGTGGACATCCCCCAAAGACTACCAGGCTGCCAGAGGGATGTCTGACTGCCAGCTTAGGCCCGATACCCTGGGGAGCTGACCTAAGTCAGCAGGTGGACATCCCCCGAGGGGTCCCAGACTGTGAGAGGGCACAGGCTGGGCTGAGGGACCTTCCCTCCCCCGAGTGCACAAATTTTTGTGCACCAGGACTCTATCTAATAAAAGGGTAATATGCAAATTAGACGGGGACGCCAGCAGGAGCCAGTGGGCTGGCTGCAGTGCTGCAAGAGGCCAGGGATGAGACGCTGAGGCTGTGTCAAATAAAATAAAATGCGTTCACCTGCCCTAAAGCACAAACATCCCAGCAGAGAACTCAATGCAGGTTAATGTGTAATCACAATGATTACACAATAAATCACAATGATCACACAATACTGATTACACAATAAATTGATTTTCACTGGAAAAAAATAACATCTTCATTTAAAGATGCTCCAGTAAGGCTGCTGAGGCTTTCATCTGTCCCTTTCTACACCAAAGATGACAGGGTTCAAGGAGGAAGGGTTCCAGTTTCATTTTCTGAGCATCCAGCTAGGAGGCCTCCCTGGGCAGCTCTACCCTCTGAGACCTGCGCAGGACAGGCGCTCCGCTCTGGCCTGGGAGCCCTCAAAGGAGGTGCAGTGAAGTGCTTTCCCTCTGACCCTGCTCTCCTTGGGAGTCTAGCACGGAGGGCGCTCTTCCTGGGAACCCAAAAATTCGCTTCCCGGGGTGACTGTGCAGCAGACAGGCCTGGCGAGCCATGGAGAGGGAGACCTACCCATGTGGATGTGTACACTGGCGGAGGCCACGCAGCTGCCAGTTGAAGTCATCCTCGATAGATGACCAGGTAGTGGGGATTGGAGTCGGCCATGTCAGCGATAGAACCCCAGCTCCCCACTGAATGACTAGAGCACACAGACCTCAAAGGTTCTCACTCACTTCCTGAGCAGCATGTCGGCCCCCACCAGGGATCAAACCCGAAACAGAAGTAGGTGCCCTGACAGAATGGAACCCAAACCTTTTCTGTGGCAGAGGGGCTTCGACCCATGACAGGGGCCAGGGAACAGCAGATGGGTTTTGTTGAGGGGCCCTGACAGGTAGTGTGCAGCACTGTGGGTTAGAAC